ACAACAGCTGACTTTTGGACCAAATTTTAATTTCTGGATGACTCAAACTGCTGCATATATATATATATATTTGAGTCATCCAGAAATTAAAATTTGGTCCAAAAGTCAGCTGTTGTAGGAAACCAGCTCTTAATGTTATATATATATTTAATGCCACATAGGAGAAGCTTTTCTTTTCTCTAGATCGCTCTCTGGGAATTCCCCCCCCCCCAAAAAAAAACACTTTCAAATTGGGAATAACCTGGATTCCAGTTGAATTGTTTAGAGAAAAATCATACTGTAAACTGGCAGCTGATTTAAAATTATCAGTCAGGAGCAGTGCCATGGCAAAGCTAAAGAAGAAAAGTATTTCTAATGTTTTACAGAAATAATCCCTATGTCATTTCTACTTTCCCAAAAAGGATAATTCTAAAAAAAACCCACGATTGGAGTAGAGCGAAAATAACACACAAAAATCAGAAAGCTCAAGGCACATCAATTTTGTATTAAATTCTTTCAGCCTTTCCATATGATATGAATCCAAACTAAGAAAAAAAAAAGGGACTACTTGCTTGGAATACTATTTTACGTATTGCTTTATATTAGTCCAGCATAAATTTAAGATAGCTATTTGTAAATTCTTTGAGGATCTATAAATCCTCATTCTGAATTATATATTACAGCAATGACTGAGCATAATTTCCCTTAAGCCAATCCAACAAACTCTTCCCTATATTCTTAAACCAAGCCACAGTAATCTTCCAGGCATTTTAGGAACCACAATGTTAAGAGGCAGGATTGCAATCTGTGTTAAAAGAGATACTATGCCACCTGCTGGTTTCTGGATAAAATATAGAATTGGATTGGATTTTATATTTTCATCAGCTTTTGTGTATGTGTAGTGCTATTTCAGAGCAATCAATTAAGACTACCACCTATTGCTACAGTACACTTTGACATGAGGATCAGTGTAAACTCTATAGCTTTAATAGCTCTACCTTTTCTACTCTTTCAACTTAATTACTTTGATGACATTTATGAGCTTACTTTGACACGTATTGATTAGTTCTGTTACACTTGTTGATAGACTACGATTTCTGGTCTAAAATAAAAAAAAAATGAAAGCAACCATGCTGATTATGGCAGGTAAAACAATTCATATCTATATTAAGGCAGAAATATTGTAATCAGTCCAATAGAAACTTATGAAATAATATTCAACCCTTGGAGTTTCCAAGAATCTTTCATCAGAACCAGGTTTTTCTATCTGCAGACAATTCCCACTATTTTTAAGATTGTAAAATAATACAGCTATTGTTTGGAAACAGATATGGCTTGGTAATTCTATTTACTTCCCCCCCTTTTCTGAATTTTAACCATCTTACCACATACAGCAAATACATGGTAAATACAACCTTGGAACAGCACCCTTCCATTATGTTATTTTTTTCAGTTTAACAAAAACATAAATGGTATTTTTATCCCTGGATTTTTCATAATTAGTTGTTGGAAATGTACAGTACATTTCAACATTTTTCATGGAACCGATCGGTAGATTTTTTTTCCTAGTCTAAATTTTTATAGAAATATTTATGAAATCTGCTTTAACAAATAGTTCCTAATAAAATCCATTTGTTTCCAATAATTTTAACCACTATTAATAAAATTGCACGCATACATGCACAAACACAAACACCAAACATGAACAGAATTTGATAAATTTCTATAATTTTACATAGGTTGCAATTTCGACTAAGGCAGCAAGAGAGTATATACATCCTTGCAAGAAAGCTGTAAGGTCATTGCCAGCCTCTGGACACAATCAAGGGCGTGAATGAGTTTGGACCAATATTGCACAGGGGAATACTCTATTATTACAAGCGTAATGGTGGAGGCTGTGGATGATTACAATGTCAAATGAAACAGATGAACAAAATGATGCCATTTTGCACTTCTAAAGCCCAAATCTGGTAGTCCTAGTTCTCCTGCAACAGTAAAGATTTCTGAAAACCTAACTCTTCACAAAAGAATTTACTGTTTACTGTGTGCACTTTGCAAATCTGCACTTTCTTAGTGTATATGACTTGAATACAGAAAACAGCCCCCTCTTTTTCTGGGGAGCAGATTACGGAGTGGTGACCTCATCCTTTTAATCAAATGAATAATCTTCCTAGGAAAGCCCAGAAGACATAAATACTTCCCTTATTTGGTTAGTAAAGCATAAGACTTTCAATCTTCCTTTAATGTCAATAACGTAGTATCCCCTCTGCAACATTTCTAATTAAAGCATTAGGCTTTAGTAGATATTCTTATAAATAGTTGTTTTGCACTTGTTAATCAAAAATGAGACCACAATTTTGAGATCATATCTGTATAGTACAAACTCCCCTTTTGCACAAATTACTTAGTGATGCAAGTTGGACATTTGGAGAAAGATGAAACTGCAGGTTAAATGGGAACATTTAGCCTGACCCTATTCAATCAATGTAGGATGGGCAGCATTACTTGAAAGGATATTCTATTAAATATTACTGCAGCAACTTAGTAGTAAAGAAGTGATCTACAAGTCATGTATTTCATGTGAAGACATTTTATTCCACTCTGATACATTCAGAATATTAAAGCTACTAGCAGAAAAAAAAAGATATATTTTTAGCCAAGGATAAGTCAAAGGCATGACAGGAAACAACACTCAGAAATAACATTTTCCTTCAATTAAACCACATTGTTTGTTGTACATAGATATTGCTCTTAAAGCTTGGAATACAAGGCATGTAGTGACCTGATCTATGTTGACAACTTCAACACTAGCCTAGCCCATTCACCAAGCTCCGTCAAAACAACATCCTTAGTTGCATAGGAACAGAAAATATTCTGAAATCGAAGGCTATGTTTGCAATATGTTTATGTTCTCAATTACTGTGTATAAAACATAAAATTCAAGAGACACTTTAGTTTTGCTTTAAAAATAAGTATTTTCGTTGTTAAAAATCTCCAAGTCTAATGGAGATAAATAAAAAAAATACAGGAGAGCATACCCTTAAGCACACTTCACCATTTTCTATGTTAGTTTTTAAAACTTTAAATTAATAAACCCAGAAAGACTGTTCTTACATTAGATGCAGGGGAAGGGGGTCACTGTCTCCAATGTGGTCATTGGTAAAGATGTTTTCCAACCATTTTCTGCCTAGGATTTTGTATAAATCTAGCAGGGCAGACTGCTTAGCTGAGTCTGTTCTAATGACTTGGATGAGTAGCTTTTCTAATTGAATAGTGAAAGAAAATCAGAAACCTCAATATGGAGCACTTCTGTTTCTGGTACAGTTTATGAACTGCAGGGACTCTCAATGCAGCCCTATCTCTTGGAAGAAACAGAGCTTGTAAACTGAGCATTATGCCTCTGCCTCTGTTGAGTTCCTTCATGGAGTGAAAATAGTGGCTCTTCGTGACAGCGGAGTTTCTTAGTCACCTTGGCAAATGCCTGATTTCACCAACCTTTGGCACAACTTCAGAGTGTCACTGCATTACTTTAGAAAGCATTGTGTTGAAAGTTGAATCGGGGATACAATTCCCTTTGTAACTTTCCCACAGAAAAAAAGCAAAGTAGTGAACTGCCCAGCAAAGAGAAAGCAAGTGAGGCTTTCTTGCAAGATCAAAATCAGCCATAGCCAGTGAAGAGGGAAAGACTAACTGATCATGAGAAATAACTGAACTGCAATCCTGCCTCTTGCTAACTCTGAAGGCTTGATAAGCTCAATAAAATCACTAAAACATGCATGCAGTGAATCAACAAACATGCATCTCAGCCCCCTCAGTCGTTTTTTCACCAGTTCCTAAAATGCTGCTGTCAAGACTTATGCTAACAGCAGGAAAAAGCCTGCTTCCTGAAGAAGCTCTGACATGTAAATCTGAGAGAACATAAATCACAGGATTTTTTGGGTCTATTGCCAAGAGGAAGAAAAAAGCAGGTTCTGGACTGGATGCGGTGGCAAAGAATGGATCAGGTTGATGGGCCATCGGATGTCTGCAGATCTGACATATGGAAGGCACTCAGGATAGTCCAGTCCCATCTGGTCGTCTTCATGAATTTCCATCACTGCATTAGCCGCACATCGTGAATGTCAGCCACTGTGGAGAAAACAAAACAACAAAGAAACTCAGAATGATACACTAGGCTATAATCCGCCCTATTTTTCAGAATTATGTAGGAATTAAGTGTCAAAGCTACTTTAATTTTCATAAGTTGTCAGAATTATTTTTTTATAGACCTCCAAATGTTTTTCCTTTTTGGATATAGAAATATCTCCTTGGATATTTCACGAGTATCTTAAGAATAAAGTACTCAAAGCAAAACTTAGCTTTCTCTCAAGTCTTTCTCTCCTACAATTCAATAACAACACTGTTATCTATCAAAGCAGATCTAAACCTTGTTTTTCCCTTCCGTCTCTTTTAATTTCTTCATTTTTTCTGCCATATCCAGTTGATGTCCAAGAGACTCTAAAAATAAAAAAAAAACAGTCTGGTTCTCCTTACCTCCCCAAGATTCATCACAGCACTCCCAGAACCTTCTGGATCCAAACTACGGAAGAATCCTGAAAAATTTGTAAAAAAATAAATAAAGAGAAAAGCCATTTAGCTAAAGAATTTTTATTCCAGCATTATCATCAACTACTCCCCAAAGAAGCTCACACATCAAACCTTGAATAGTCAAAGGAATAGATAACTATTTAAAAAATGAGGTGATTTTGGTAATGACCCAATTTACCTCAGTAGTAATAGAGCGGTCATCTGGGGAGCTAAAATGGCTGTGCTACATCAATATCTATGGAGGTTTAAATGAATTGTATAATCAGCTGATTTTAGAATTCATTTATACCTCAATAGGAGTTTCCTTCCTTCCCTCCCTCCCTTCCATTTCACAGTTTAAGGATTTGGTGTAGCAAGGCTGTTTTTTTTAAGCATCAAATTGTTTTTGCTGCACTGCAAACATAAAGCAGAAATTCACATATTGTGATTGGATATGAATCTACATGAAATGAGGGTTATTAATTGCCTCTGGGGGTGGCTGCCTTATCAGCCCCTTCACTGTAAACACTTACTGAACATAGTTTCCAGCTTGACTAGACAGCAGACAAAGTTATCAAAGTCCACACCCATTGATTCATCAGCATAGCGTGCCACTATCACTTGATGCAACTTGTTGTCCAGTTTAAAACCTAAAGATTTAGAAATGGAACATTAATCTTGACAGAGTGAAAGTCATGAGGTGTACTAGAAGAGATTCAGGAAATGATTTAAAAACTCAGGAAAGTTGAAAAATACTAGGTATAACCCCATTAGATGACATATCTTAAAAAGGAGCCTAGAATCACTCAGTTGCTGGAATTATCTATATTTATAATGCACAAGCAGGTGCTCCGAGTGAATTCCTGCTAGAGGCTTGAAGCAAATCCTACCATGTTTGTAAAAAATGCAATGGAAATACTAACTTATTGATCTGCATGTATTTGCAGTAAGAAATCACATTAGTGTTTGTTTTGTTTTACCACAAAAGCAAATAATCCTTGGAGTGAGCAAAGAGAAACTCTAGGATAAGATGTTTTTCCTAAGAATCTTTCTTACAGAAATCATATCTTAAATGCACAATGGAGGGGAAAGGATGTGTCTATCTTACTCCTCCAGGGAAAAGCTCTCTAATAGTGCATCATGAGTTATATTATTAAGTGAGATTTTCCTTGGAGGAACAAGATTGAGATGTAGAAAGGAGTCCTTTTCATTTAATTGAACAAGCAATTATTAAATTACCTATACAAGATTAAGAGTGCTGACTGGGAACTTGAACTCTCAAGGCAATATCCTCAGAATTAGAGGAGTAAAAATTCTCTTCTAGATCATGTCTAGTAAAAATAGAAAATGGAGGATCAAGCCTACAACTTTCTATTGAATCATAAGGACAACTAAGTCTGGATTTCTCTTAGCACTTCCTGAAGATAAAGAGAGGAAAGGCAAAGCCACACCCCATACTTGGAGGTACCTGAATAGTCAAGGCTTTTTCATTAAAAAGTTGTACAATCAAGGACAGGAGAAGCTCCACAATGCTTATTTTATTTCTTTTGTTTCCAAACAAACTATGTAAAAAAAAGGGGGGGGGAGATTCTGGCAGGAGCAGAAATGATTGTACTATCTGGAGCTTTGCACGGTTAAGTTCAACAACATGAATAACATATTTTCATTTGTCACAGAACTGCAATTTTCATTAATGTTCTCAAATGCAAAGATGTCCAAATCAGAATGTGAAAGTAGCATTAGCATCGGTGCCCAAGCACTTTCCAAAGTTCTCATAGCCAATCTGGGAGGCTGGAAACCAACCCATATTTATGATTAGCTTTATTTTCCATGCCTGAGAAAGGGATTTCGCTCTCCTTTCACCCTCCATTGATTGTTTTTGCAGGAAATAATAGAACAGTTCAATAAAGCCATTATTCAGCATAAATGAAATAAATGAAAATTCAAACTACGCTGCATAATTGTCAGTCTCTTTGGCTGATAAAGATTCCTACACCTATCAACTCAGCGTTTTCTTTTTTTATATATATAAATTTTATTGAATTTACAATTAAAAAATAACATAACAACATTACATATGTAACAGAGAGAGAAAAAGAAGAAAGAAAGAAGGGAAAGAGAGAGGAAAAAAAAAAAAAAACGCTCGGTCTTGCGACCGAAAAAGGAGAAAAAGAAGTATAAAAGAGAGAAAAAAAACAAAGAGACGGAAGAAAAAAGAAAATACGTTAAAACCAGACAGATATTCTTTTTGACAGTCTGCAAGATCCAATTCTCCTACCTTACTTTAAATATACACATCTTATCACTATTTATGCTTAAATTACCCATTATTCATTGAACAGTTTATCTCTGATATAACCAATTATACCACGCATTCCAATTATTATCAAATGCTGAAGACTCTTTATTTTTAAGAGCTATGGTTAAATTGTCCATTTCTGCGCAGTCACATATTTTCTGAATGACCAATTGATCTGTAGGTAAACAGGATGATTTCCAGCACTGGGCAAATGCTAATCTGGCCGCAGTTAGAATATGAATTATTATATATTTCGTCTTTTTAGGAAAATGTTTATCAGAGATCCCTAGTAGGAAGAACTCTGGTTTGTATTCGATTTGTTCTTTGGTTATCTCCTCCAGCCATTTTCTAATTTTTTGCCAGTATTTCTGGGCTTCTTTACAGGTCCACCACATATGAAAGTAGGTTCCCTCTATGTTTTTACATTTCCAACCATCCCTTCCAGACTTACCAGTTGATTCCAAGGCCAGACGCATCTCATAAGAGCTCATAGTTCCTGATTTATCCAGGTCATGCTGGCGAAATACATTCTGCCCCACACATAAACAAAAAACCAAAAAAGTGCTTAAGATTACTTTTCCCATACCCTCTTGTCATCTTTAAACACCATCTTCCACCAAAAGCTGTGCTGACCACACACATATGCAACATATCTCTCTTACCAGCCAGTTCCTGATTTTGTTCCACAATATCTGAAATTCTACAAGACCCAGACGGGCACTGCCATCTTTCTGAAGAGCAAAATAGTCAAGGAGAGAACCTCAAAAGGTAAAAAGAATGGCCTATAATCTGAAAGTCTGGGGAAATATTGGTAAATTGATGGGAAAATAGTACTCTACCTCTTTATGAAGTCCAGAACATGCATACAGAACCCATAAATAATGTTGGCAGGATTCTGGGCTTTCTATGTTCATCCAATATAACCTGCTCTTTCATACTATTTCTAAAATTGTTTATTGGTACCTTAGAATGAATTTGACTATATGTCTATGACATATGACCCAGACAACTAAGTCTAGAGTTGTTATTACAATAGGCTCTTCTCAAACCAAGGGAAAAATAAAACAGCAGCAAGTAGTTACAGATAATCAGAATTGGAAGGGACCTTGTAGGTCATCTAGTCCAACCTCCCTCCCAAGCGGGAAACCCCACACCATTTCTGACAAATGGCAGTCCAATCTCTTCTTGAAGGTCTCAAGAGATGGCGCTCCCACAACTTCCGAGGGCAAGGTGTTCCGTTGGTTGACTGTTCTCACTGTCAGAAAGTTTCTCCTTATTTCCAGATTAAATCTCTCCTTGTTCAGTTTCCACCCATTATTCCTTGTCTGGCCTACAGGCGCTTTAGAAAATAGCTTGACCCCTTCCTCTTTGTGGCACCCACTCAAATATTGGAAGACTGCTATCATGTCTCCCATGGTCCTTCTCTTTACTAGAGTAGCCATGCCCAGTTCCTGTATTATTATACTTCCGTGATGGTGAACCTATGGCACGCATGCCACAGGTGGCATGCAGAGCCATTTGTGCCGGCACATGAGCTGCAGGCAAACTTACCACATTGTGCACATGCATGCCTCACAGCTCATTTTTGGCCGGTTTGAGACCTTTTTCGGAAAAACAGGGAAAACAGGAAGTGATGAAATGGGGCTAGATTTCGGCCTACAAAGCTTGTGGAAGCCTTCCTCAAGCCTTTGGGAGGACGAAAAAGGCCTCAAACCCACTGAAAATCAGCCTTGAGGTGCAGTGTAGGTAAGGGGGCGGTGGGGGTGGGGATTGCATGCACATGTGTAGGGGACGTGGGGTGGCGCACGCATTGCAAGTGCAAGCATGCAAGCGCACGCACAATTTTTGGCACAGGAGCCCCAAAAGGTTAGCCATCATTGTTATAATTATTGGTAAGAAAAATGTGTTGCCTTGCTAAAGCTTGTTTACAAAGCCACTTGCCAATCACTGTTGTTCCTGAAGGGGCTTGAATCAATATAATGAAAAGTAGTTTCATCTCATAGCTTAATTCCATTTATTTGTTCAGAATTTTTCCCCCAGTGATCAACTCTAGGTTCCTTATGCTACATCAGTGCTCCTATTGAAGAAAAAAATCTGAACAAGATAACAGAAGTAAAGATAAGGGTATTCCTCCCCCCCAAATAAGATCTGTAATTAATTTCCAACTAACTCTCAACCCATAACATTTGTAAAGCCTTACTACTAGTGCTAGAATGAATACTTTTGTGAGCAGAGTATCAAGACAATATACAAAACATGAATAAACTCTAGTACAGTATCGTAAACCACCTTAACACATATCTGGACCACTTATCAGCCAGGACAAACTCCACAGAGAGACAAAACAAGCTATACACTAGCTTAAATGGTGGCGCAGGGGTTAGAGTGCAGTACCGCAGGCTACTTCTGTTTACTGCTGGCTGCCTGCAATTTGGAAGTTCAAATCTCACCAGGCTCAAGGTTGATTCAGCCTTCCATCTTTCCAAGGTAGGTAAAATGAGGACCCAAATTGTTGGGGGAAATATGCTGACTCTGTAAAACTGCTTTGAGAGGGCTGTAAAGCACTGTAAAGCAGTATATAAGTCTAAGTGCTATTGCTATTAAATGGGTTTGGATAATTTGCAATTTAGAACAATGTAGAAGCCCAGGGGCTTAACATGGGATAAGCTATATAGAATATATTTTGCTTGTCTGTTTTATTATGACCAGAAAATCCCTCTCATTTATAGCAGAGAGGATACATCCATCAGATTGACCATGTTGCGACAAGAGTCCATGCTGAATCCATCAGTCTTCAGATCTTTGTCTAAACAAAGTAAGAAAAAGAGCCATAGTTATAAAGGAAGTTATTTCTAAAGTAGAACTTGGAATACATATATGAAAAAGAAGATGTAACAATCTCACTCCCTATAATCCTGAATCAACTAAGCAGTACTTACGTCTAGCAATGACTCTATTCAAAATAGTTCTGAGTTCAAAAACACTGATTTCCATGTCCTGGAATAATGGAGAAAAGAGAATTAATTGCTTATAAAATGTCAAAAGTATTAAAAGTCTCATTTTCTTCTGAAAGTAGATTACTGATAATTTCTCACACGTTGACACTACCTAGGGTGGTCTACAAAAGTGTGTCAAGGGATGGCTGCAACATCACCGAAGATGGTCATAACACTGGATACAGTCATGGGAATTCTGAGTGTGGAACTCTGCAGTCCATATAGTTTATTCCAATAACAACCGCTTTTTAAAAAAATTATACCATGATATATGAATTTTAAATTAAATGTTTGTTTCGCTTTCCCAAGCTTCTGATGATATAGACGTGCTTTTAAGTCTCATTTTATCCCCACAATATCCTATGAACCAAATTAGGTTCAGAGATTACTTTGAAGGCAGTTAAATCAAAGAGATCTTTGATTCAAGTGTACAGATAGTCCTTGACTTACAATCACAAACTGACTCCAAAATTTTGGTTTAGACATGTTAATTGAGTTTTGCTCCATTTTATGATCTTTCTTGCCATAGATGTTAAGTGAATCATTACACATAATAAATTAAGTAATCCGGGTGTTAAGTGAATCATTGCAGGTAACAAGTTAGTAATCTGGCTGTTAAGTGAATCTCTCCCCATTGATTTTGCTTGTCAGAAGGCCGCAAAAAGTGATCACATGACCTTGGGACACAGCAATGGTCATAAATATGAACCAGTTGCCCAGCATCTGAATTTTGATCACATGATCAGCGGGATGCTGCAAAGGTTGTAACTGTGAAAAACGGTTATAAGTCACTTTTTTCGGTGTCATTATAACTTTTAACGGTCACTAAAGAAGCTGTTGCAAGTTGAAGAGTACCTGTATTGCTTCTTCTACTAAATTGATTTAAATGGCAATGGCCTTAAAGCCTCCTCAATATTATGTTAGTCACAGCAACTAGCTGCTATTTTCCATACTCCTCATTCTACGCAACAACGGAAGAAGAAAGAATCCACAGGAAAGCTAAGGCACAATACTTACTTCTCCTGCAAGCTGCTGGAACATATTCCTGAAATTTTCATCTATATCATCCTCAGATATTTCTTCCTGAGAAAACAAAAAAAATAGAAGGACTCGATTAAGCCATTGATATGCTACTTCTGGGCAAGGGCCCATTAAATGTAATGGAGGAGGCACAAAGAATAACCTGCCTCATCTATATGTTCCTTATTTCCCAAATGCTGGCTATGGTCCCATGATTAATTCAAGTCCCTAAAATGTGAATTTGATTAGAGAGCCAGTTTGATCTAGTGGTTAAGGCTCCAGGCTAGAAACCAGGTGCCAGTGAGTTCTAGACATGAAAGTCAGCTGGGTGGTTTGAGGCCAGTTCACATATTCAGACTCAGGTGACAAGTAAATTGGTTAATCCCTATTGCAACCACTGGAGCAACACTCAGTTATTCTAAGACAGGGATCAAGATTCTGACAGTCACCCCCATTTAAATCATGAGTCTTGAGCCAAACTTCCAAAACTTCAAAAGGATTTATTGGGAGTTAAAACATCCGGTACTGCCGACTCTGGGTGTAACTGACTCTGGGACACATAATTCATTATCACCCTTGACCCTGGTTTTCCCCCACCCTCTGGGTGAATCGTAATTCATATTCTCCAATGGGACACATCCGTAGCCAAGAGTCATCAATCATGCTCTCCAGTTAGAATTTTGCGTGGCAGAAACTTCAGTCACCTAGTTACTGTCTTTTACTATCTTTGAAAACTATGGAAAGTACTTTCAGTTTGCAAGCTGTCACACTGCTCCCCCTTTCTGTTGGCAACTCTAAAAACACCATAGAAATATTTTATAAGTTGACAACAGGGGTGTCAAACTCACAGCCCGTGGGCCAGATGTGTCACATACTGGCCACGCCTACTCGTTTTACCAAAAGGGAAAAAAGTTTGTGATACATCACGTGACGACAATGTGTTGTCGCAAGTTTGACACCCCTGATGTAAAAAAAGCAGACCCTGACTTACAGCAAATGCTAGGAAGAAAAACAAATATGTCAGGAAATCCAGACAGCCAAGGGGAGGGAAGCTCCACTGACAGCAGAGCTACAGCAATTCTGAATTCCCTTTGACGCAAGGGAAATTCTGGGCTTGGATGAGACAGTGAGATTCAATCAAGCTCAATCCTTTCTTTGCTTACACCTAATGGAGAAAATCTTGCCAAACTAAAGCTGTAAGTTTCTAAGCTACTAGATATAGCTCGAGAGATTCTAGGGTGTAGTTACCCTGAACCTCTCCTTCTCCCCCCTCCCTCCGTCCTTTGGGACTGTGCAGTCTCTTAATCCAGGTCTCTCTCGGGGAAAGCTCTGCGTTGCCAAAATGCTCTCTCTCTGCTCCTGCAGGTGTCCATTCCATCACAGAAATTGATACTTTAAAGCTTCTTTTCCCCTCTCAATTAAAAGGAATGAAATTAGGATAAAGGGCTTATTTGGTCAAAGTTGGATCCACACGAGTGCCAAGGGGATTATATGGACGCTGCAGGGGACTAAGCAAAACTTGAATACTTCTATGTTAAACAATACTTGGCTAAAACAATGTTTAGACTAAACTATTCTTGGAATATTCTAGAAATGTATAAACTTAAACTGAGGATATGTTCTATCCTCCCAACATTAAAATCAACTTAGAACCTTCTTACACCCATTACCTGGATCATCTTGTTTCTGTTCTTTCTTATTTTTCCTTCTACCCAAGCCTATTTTAATTTGTAAGAGAACCTTCGGGTTTTCAGAAAGGTAAACCAAGTATGGAAACATGTGAATTGGAAGCAAGCATTACCAAGTTTTTAAAAAACATCTGCCAATCTTACAGCTTTTAAAACCCCTCTATAGAACAGCTCTTTCTCAACCTCTGCCTGTAAAGTGGGTTGAATTTCAATGCCAGGATGCAAGAAGATTACGAGAACTCAAGTCCAGGCCATTTGGCAGATACTGCACTGAAGAAGAACAATGAAAGAAAAGAACGGCCCCTGGTAGTTCAACTTCACCTCATCTGGTAGATCTGCGGAGATCTCATCATCAAGCACCCTAAAAAAGAAAGAATACTTAGAGACTCCAATGCTTTTGTAAAAATGAGAAGACATGGGAAACATTCTCTTTCTACTGCCTTCTATTCAGAGATGGATGCAACTGAAGTCTGTTTATTACTTTGTGCCCAATGCCTTCTTTTTCCTCCAAGAAAACTCTTTAACACCCCAGGAGATTTTTGGACTGAAGGTGCAAAGCCTAAAGGTTACTTATAGGTCTCTGGAAAAAAAACCACCCCAATATTAGAGGAAGGTCACAAAGCATGGACTCACTCTGTGTCTGACTGTTTCTCTGTGAAGACACGCAGGATGAAGTCTGCTTCTTTGTTAGGCTCAAAGGTAGAGGGAACTATGATGTATTCACCAGGTGGCAGACGAATGTGATTGCTCACTTCTCGCAAGTTGATAAAGGTCTCTGAACGTGCTTGAGATTGGTTCCTCAGAAAAAAGTCCTTCTTCAGATGAACGCTTTGACAGCCCTGGGCCTGGGAGAGAAGCAGTTCAGGGGTTCTATACAGCTGGTTCAACCATCAAGGTACCAACCAATGTATGCATGTGTGTATAACCACACTCACACACAATTCAAAAGCATAAAGGAGAAGATACAAGTCAAAACAGTTTTCTTGAAATAAAAAATACACACTCAATTATTATTTTTTTACATAGGCAGGTTTCTGTGCCCCCTTAATAACTGACTCTTTTAAGTTTCAGAAGATACACAGCATTGAGTATCTTAATACACTGTAACCATCAAAGTAGTTGTGGCAACTTATGATGGTTTCAAGTAAGAGGAGAGGAACTTCTTATGAGAGTTGACTATCTGCATTTCAACCTATTTCAGTCAGCCATTGTCCACCTTCACAAAAAGATCAAATAATGGATTGGTAGAGCTCAGGTATACCTCTTCAGGAACCTATGGGGTGGGGGGGAGAGAGGGGGGGAAGAGAGAGAGGGAGAAAGATTAGGAACAAATTTCTGTAAGCTTTGCTGCAGAATAGGAAAACCAGAAAACCATCTGGTGTTACCTCATAGACAGCAAAGCCAATGGTATGCATGTCTCCTCCAGCGTGGCGTTCTTTTCTTCGATGTTTTTGCATCAGAGCCACTAAGAAGCTGCATGCCAGTTCATTGTCGTCTGGGTCATCATCTTCTTCTAAAAGCTTGATTTTGAATTGTGGATTAATCCAGAACGTAGCTGCAAGACAAAGGGATAAGTGTAGTGAATCTCAGTACCAAACCTAGATAGCATCACTTGAAATGAGTAAGATCCGGGAAGAAGCCAAGTCAAGGAATAAAAATCAATGGAGGAAAAGAGAACTGACTTTCAGACTTCTACCCTCTCAATAGGGTCAAAATGGTCCCCCCTTTTAATCTAATTGCATGTGATGTAGGTAGGTAATCCTCAAATTATGAATATAATGGAGGCTGCCTCTCCGTCGCGGTTTCTTTGCCTGCTTGTAGTCTCAACGTGAAAAGCGTTTGCAACCTGAAGAGACTTTGGGGCAGTGATATCGCATTGCTTCAAACCTCCCAAAGGCTTGCAAATGCTTTTCACGCCAAGACTAGAAGCTTCTGGGGGCCATGACCTCATCCCTGAGAAGCTTCCACTCTCGGTGTGAAAAGTATTTGCAAGCCCACAAAACTTGAAGCAATGAAATTCTACTGTCCCAAAGTCTCGTCAGGTTGCAAATGCTTTTTGGGTGGATTTGGTACAGGTCTTAGTTCATCAAAAATAGAGGCTTAAAGATCTCGCATGATCTCCCACTATTTTAGGCCCCTGTTCTGCACGAATCCACTAAAGCAGACAAAGGAACCGGTGGCTCGTTAGATCATCACAAGGTAAGTGAGTCTCCACAGGACCAGTTCCTGTGGAGACCTGGTGGGTTGGGGTTGAGGAATAGGCAGGGTGAATGTTGCAGTGACTCTGCCATCATTCATAAGTGTGAATGACTATTGCGGCACTGCAACATTCATAACTTCGAGATTGTGTCGTAAGTACTTGGGGAGTTATGTTGTAACCTCAAACAGTTGCAAAGTGAACTGTCGTAACTCAAGGATGATATGTAATCTATAGCAGGGGTCTCCAACCTTGGCAACTTTAAGCCTGGTGGACTTCAACTCCCCTGGGAGCTGAAGTCCTCCAGGTTTAAAGTTGACAGGGTAGGAGACCACTAGTTTATAGTAATCCATCAAGCATGAGGCAGAAAAGACAGGAGTAAGTAGAGAAAATCTCTGTTACCTGGATGGTTTCTGCAGCCTCCAGCTGTACTGCCCCGTCGCCAGCTCCCCTCAAATAATGTAGTGTGCCATTTTTTTGTTTCCTCCACTGTCAGAGCATCTGGGGTGAGATTACAGATCTCAAGTCTAGAAAACTCACGCATAAAGTCTCGAAAAGACATCCTGAAGGAGCAGAAGACATAGTAAGAACAATAGCAAAAGTACATATGATGGTCTCAGTGCTACTTTACAGCAGAAGAAAATAATCAGTACAACTACTCTAAAACTGTAATAGTAGTCCTGCCAGACCAGGTTAAAGCCCGTCTTAGTCCCTCATTTGCTTTTTTCACACGAGCCAACCAGCTGCCTCCTGGGTGCTTGCAAGCAGGAAGTAGAAACATAACTTCTTCCAAAATGCAATAGGTTTTGGGAAACTTACTACAGGAAACTTGCATGCAGTATGAAGCAGCGTTTCTTTTATCTATATATATAAAAACGGATATGTGTATGTGTTTGTGTATGTGTGTGTGTGTTACTCTCTGGAAACAAATACTGTGGGGGTAAGACACCCTTAACACCCCTCGGGGAGTGGTGGTGGTACACGTTAGATCATCACAAGGTAAGTGAGTCTCCACAGGACCAGTTCCTGTGGAGACCTGGTGTGTTGGGGTTGAGGAATAGGCAGGGTGAATGTTGCAGTGACTCTGCCATCATTCATAAGTGTGAATGAGTACTGCGGCACTGCAACATGGTAACGGCTTCACAGTACTCCACAAGGGGGCTCCCTCTCAGCTCTTCAAAGAAACATCAGGCGATTGGCTAAGTGTAATAAAAAAAATGAAACACCAGTATAGACAACAAACTCCTGAGCAGAGGAATAGAAGCCTTGCAACACTGCGAGTCCTGAATACACGATTTTACCCAGGCAATGCCGGGTTATCAGCTAGTCTGTTTTAAATTTCCTTCCATGCAGATACCTAGTTTCACTGAAAACGATTCCTTGCTTATATTTTCCCAACCACATGTGATTTTATATAGTTTTATCAAGTTGCCTTTATTCCAAACTAAAGAATTTCAAGCATTCTAGTCTGTCTTTGTAAAATATCCAAGTCTCCTTATTGCTTTAGCTGCTCTTACATATGTCTTCCAGCTCTATTATATCTTTTTTAAATACAGTGATCAGAATGTATTCAAAATCAGATAGAGAATTGATTTGTATAATGTTGACTGTTTCATTTTTAATTGCTTTTCTAATATACTTAGCATGGAATTCACTTTTCACAGCTGCTGCTTACTCATTCTGATCTTGGGATACTTTCCCTGCAGACAGCTCTGTTCCCATCAGTGGTTTTTTATTTCTCAAACGTGCGTTTTACTTATCCTGAACTGCATTTATTATATGATTGACCGTTTAACCTATTTTTAAAAGATCATCCTGGAGCTTTTCACAATCATTTTTTATATTTATCACCCTGAACAGTTTAGTATCACCCACATATTGGACCAATACATGCACAACAATATCAGGAGTGCCTCCATCCATGTCTGGAGATGCTCTCAACATTAAAAAGCTGATGAGGCAGGGTTTACTTTTGCATTCTGATTTTCCTTTACAAAACTCATTTGTTGTTCATTATGGTTGGTTGCAGAGTCTGCCAGATGTTTAGACTGAATCCGGCATTTTTATCTATTTCTATTTACAAGTATTTGCATTTCATAATTTCCTCCAGTCTTTTCTCTTATCTTCTGTTTTCTTCACGTATTGCCACATCCACTATCCAGCTGTGTTTTATCTTTTTTATCAACAGTTGTAAATCTGGCGTGTCAGATGCAGATGCTTGTCTGTGTGACTGCTAAAGCCTCAGAGCACTTTAATTTCTTCATTTTCTATTACTACTCACTCCTATTATTTTTTGGCACAATTATCCAATCATGAGGCAGGGAGATGAATGCCTTATTGTACTGTATATTTAAGTTGGTCTTTTTTCTCTTGCAGTTTTCTAAAATCATCTTGTCAATTGGATCTTTTTTTCCTCTGCCTTTTGGGCAGTTTCCTTTCTGCTCAGGGGGAAGGAGCTTGTTTTCAATAATACTGTTGCTACCACATCAGTTTGAAAGCAATTTGATAGTTATCAGTACGTAAGTAATTGGCTTGTAATTACCTAGTGCTGTCCCTTTTGTTGAATCTTACATTGTTGGGTAGGTTTCAGAGGTGGCATTCAGTAGGTTCTGACCAATTCTTGAGAACCAGTAGCGGAAATTTTGAGTGGTTCGGAGAACTGGAAAATACCACCTCTGACTGGCCCCGCCCCCATATATTCTCTACCTCCTGAGTCCCAGCTGATCGGCTGGGTTTTCTTTTGCTGCCCTGCACAGGAGAATGGAGCTGGAAAGCAGGTTAGTGGGATGGGGAGGAAATGGGATTTTGCAGTAACCTTCCCCTGGAGTGGGGTGGGAAGGGAGATTTTACAGTATCCTTCCCCTGCCACACTCATCAAGCCACACCACACCCAAGCCATGCCCACAGAACCAGTAGTAAAATTTTTGAATTCCACCACTGGTAGGTTTGCCAGATGTTAATTAATCAGAGGTTTCAACCTAAAATCATTCAGTTTTGGTTCACCTGGAGCTAACCAATTCTACATCTTCCCTGTCTTTTTCTCTACCATATCTAGTATTATTACAAGTTGTTTTCTTTTAGCTTTACTGGAGCAGTCTCTTTACGGACAGATTGGTAAAAATTTCTGATTCAATTGAAATTGGAGATTCTGCTGATAATGTGCATTTCCAAATTTGTATCTACTGATCTTCTTGGTTATAGCTGTTATTTGGTATTTTACTGTTTCTGGCGCTTCCTTGTTTCTAGGTGGTACTTCTTGATCAGGTATTCTTTGAGAGTCTTATTCTTCAACTTCTTTTCCTTCATCCATTTTGGTTTGCTTGCATCTGATCTTGGCATGTTGATTTCATTTTCCAGTCTGATCTTCCATTTTGGTGGTGTATTGATTGGTATTTTTGTCTTCTTTAATGATTTTGCATCCAGGGGCTCAGTTGTAACTGCAGGTGTGCTGTATATCAGCTGCTTTGATTCTTGCAGTCAGCTGGTGCTTACATTTGATATTGTACTACTGACATATTTAATATTTGTGTTATGTGTTTCTTTGGAACAAGCTTCAATGCAGGCAACCTTATTCTGTTGCTTTTATGCTGTTCTCTGTGCTCAGTTATTCTTTATTTCAAGTCTTCTTTTTCAGTTAGAGAACTTTGTTCTTTTGGAGAAGGCAGAAAACAGTTCAATAGCTATACTGGCCTGCATTAGTGGGTCTAACAAGGATATTTTAAGAAGCAATTATTTAGTCTTGACTTCTGCTGTACATGATGCCAAAGTTTTAGGAATGATTAAGATACATGCTGAGTGTACAGCACACAGATTTGGCCCACAGATTTTGGAACTTACCAGAATTCACCATCTTCCATCTTCAGTTGTAATTCATCCTTCTCATCAGGATCTACTTCATTCCATTCAGAAGAGCTAAAATGGCAGCAAAAAGGCAATTATGCTATTTTCCCTGTACTGCTGCTCTACTTCCAATTTTAGCTGGGAACATTACTACTAAAGAACAGCAAAGGGCTAGTTTAAAGAGTTGCAAGCTCAGTGATACGTTGTAGAATATATTTTGTAAGAAAAAAAAAGTCACAGTCAATTCTGGGCATTTTCATATAGAATTGGAAAAGATTCTTCCCAAAGAGTCAATGTAGTTCAAGACTCTCCTTTCTAAAAAGGTCTTTAAAATTTTCAGTCACGCATACAAATTGCTCATATCAGAGACTGAAAATAACATAACAGGACCAAGTCACTGTCATGACTTGTATGGCTGCATTAAGAGGACATTTACAAAATTTGCAGATGACACAAACCAGGCAAGCTGATTAATACTCTAGATGGAGAAGATCTCAAAGCATCCCAACAAGCTGAAGCAGTGAATCAAATTAATACAATTATATTTAATTGGGGGAAAAAAGTAAAGTTCTACTTCTAGGTTAGAAAAATATTCATCGAGAATGAAGTTCTGGTTTGGCAATAGTACATGTGAACGGGATTTTGCTGTACTTATTGTATGTAAATTAAATGTAAGCAAGCAGTGTAGTGCAGTAGGAAAAAAGGAAAGTAAAAAGGGGAGTGTGGCATTAACAGAAGCCAGATCATAGCAAGTAATTGTTTCAGTCTACATAAATCAGATCCCATTTGGGATATGGTGTCCAATTCTGGGCACCACTCTTCAAAAAGGACAGTTGGAGGGTTACCAGGAGGGTGAATGGTCTGAGAAACAAGTCCTATATGAAAACAGTTAAAGGAAATGGGCAGGTTTAGCCAACATAAACTGAAGGGAGGTATGACAGAGGTCTTCATATACGTGTGGGGTTATCACCCAGAGGAAAGAGACTCACTCGTCCCAAAGGGTGGGACCACCACTAAAAGTTAAAATTTCAAGGAGTAAGACTAGCGATCAGGAAGCATTTCTTGACTACACAAGCTGTAGATCATAGTTATCAGCTGCCAAATTAAGTGGTGTGTTCTTCACTATGAACTTTCAAACATGGTCATTTGTCAAAGATGCTCTGGTCTGGTGAACCCTGCACAGAGCAAGAGTTGGACTTGATGTGTCTAAAGTACATTCTAACTCTACAGTTCTATGATTCACCTATCACTCCATGCGCCAGTCCACTCGACCTGACCCCAGGGATTCCTTATGCGAATGAGCTCTTCTTGACGGCCACGATACTCCACCTGCCAAATTTGAGACATTAGGCTATGTACTTAAGTAATTAAATCCTTGAATTGGTATTTGTAAATATCACAGAGAGAAACTTACCCCTTTAAATCCTGTGACCGAGTAGGCGTGACCCTTCACTAGTTTCTTGAAAGTAACTGCTTCCATGTCAAATGCACTTGTAATCTGAGAAAAAGGATAAACCACATTGTGTAATAATTTAGGTGTCCTGACCCCTCCATCTGGAATCAGATGGCATGAGATTAAAGACACAGAACAGCAGGAGTGATAAAACTTCTCAATCAGAGAGACAACAGTCTGTACAAGAAAAATATACCCCCAAGAGGAACCAAGATTCCAAAGTGATGCAGTTACTTAAGTAATGGCTAACTTTAGAATAGACTTTTGTAGCAGGGCATAGGGAATGGCCTTGAAGGATGAGGAAGAACTGCTACTAGATAAGTGGGGTTTGAGCTCAGACCAAGAAAACAACTTAATGCAAAGTCTCAGACATGCTCCTCCTTAGTTCACAAAAAGATAAAATGAAGCAGAAGGTAGCAGATCCAATTATGGTCTCATTTCTTGTATATTATATTTATGTATTATCTTGTTTTTTCATGTTTGAAGTGATATTCTTTTCTTAAAGAAACGAAAGCTGAAAGCTTGGAATGAGCAATGAACAATGACTTTCAGAAAACTCTTATTTGACATTCCCAACCAAAGTGTCATGGAAAAGGAGCTTTGTAATCTAACATTTGTTCTGCCCCATTACACATAACATAGGCTCATTCAATTGTTCAACTCCGATAAATCTACACTTACTAAATCCAATATTCTGCTTACTTCTGGCCTCCTAATGGGTGTCTAAAAATCAGAAGCAAATAAAGGAAGAACTCCAAGACTTTTAAAATTCCCAAACTCAATGAACCCTCTCAGGAGTCTATCTTACATCAATAGAACAGCCAAGCAGAGATCCTCTCTCAAGGGCCTTGCAAATGATTTTGGATAAATTGCGTGGTGGTCTTTTGAGATCATACATTTCTGCCACACCACCTGTGAAATCTTCAAAGCCTTCGGTTGTGCTTCCTCCTGACAGGGCTTCATAAGAGCCATTCAACCTGTATAGCAAACAAAACTCAGAATTAGAAGGGTACCTACAAACCTTGTCAGCGGTCTCCACCTATATAGAAGGTGGGAACTATAATAACAGAGAAACAAATCCAGAGTAGAGTTTGCTTGAGAAAGCAGGCATCCACCCCTACGTTAGCCATCTAATGACCTAAACACCAGCAACACTTACTTGGCATAAGCTTTTTCTAGCAGAGCACTCCAAAATTCTTGACACTCAGCTGAGTGCACAAACACAAGTTCTCCATCCTTGGTTGGTAATCTGTCATCTATTACCACATCTACCCATTCGCCAAATTGCCATATCTGAGGAATAAAAAAAAAGGAAGGAATAAGGAATTTACAGCCAGGCTTGGTTTGAGCAAAGTAAGAATAGTTAGGTTGGAATAAAACATGCCACTTTTTCTGAACTGCCTTTCTTTCGTTCTGTAACACACATGTCCTGTAGCAAAATGCACGTCTTACCAGGAAGTGGAAAATACCCGCATAGTCCTCCTGGAAACTCTGTCCATGGGGTACAACCCGATGTAAAAGTTCCTCATTGAGAGTCAGGGAACCAATGGCAGCCAATAACCAACAGTCACCTTAAGAGTAAGGAAACAGAAGTTACTTGTGTCTGAAATATCAGGTCACTATTTCGCTTCTCTAGATTTTAAAAGTCAGTATCTTCACCTTTGCAATTATAGATACTACTTAGAATATAATATTTTTCTCCCTTAACGATATCTATAGATAATTGAAAATGAGTAGATTTGTTCTGAAAACTTTTAACCAATTTTAGTAAAATCTGTAAAAACAAACTGGAAAGACAGCTCCTATACTCTGCTGTGATTATAAATGTGAGCTATACCCTCTTGGTTAGAAATGTGAGCATAATAAGATAAGAAAAACTAGAGGAGGACGTTGGGTGGATAATCCAATATACTGCTTTGGATCTTGTGGTATGGCCATTTGGTATATGGTGTTAAATCAGCTTTCTCTAACCCACTGCTTTCCAGATGTACTCCAGTTATAAAGTTATAGTTGATTATTCAGCATTAATTGGGTAGGAAAAGAAAGTACTGTAGGAACAAACAGTGAAAATACAGTAAGCATTATTAAAACTTGGTGAAACTCAACAAGTGGAATGCAAGAACTGAAGGATGAAGCAGGGAGAATTCCTGGATGCTGCCGTCCTGGAACAGATTGCATCATTTTTAGGAAAGGGTCATGAGGGAAAAATTCAACTACCTGGATAATTAATTGGAAGCCATGACTGCAAGGTTTTCCAAATTCCTCACTTCCTTGCTGTTTCATTTTCCAAAATGTTAAAGAATAAAATAAAGGAACTGGCTAAATCTGATTCCATAAGGAATAAGTGACTGAAGAGATGAAAACTTTGGGAAGAGAAAGAGAAATTGAAACATATGCAAAGTAGATTTCAAGGGAGCCAAATTCAACAGGCGTAAACGTAGCAGATGAGATCTTATGGATAGAAATATTCAGGTTGAATGAAGCAAAGAAGAATTGGAAATATTTCAAAACTAAGACACTAGAACTACAATAATACCCTGTTCCAAAAAAAATGGGGGAAACAGAAAATCATAGGTACCCTTTGGCTCAGCTAAGAATTAAAAGGAAGATGTATTGGACATCAAAAATGGAAACTTTTGCTAATTATGATGGAGTAATGAAACTTTACAGATTTCTAGAAAATGGAGTAGGATATGGAATGACAAGATGATTTATTATATTTTAAGAGATGTGATAATTTATTAAAGTTATCTATAGTATACTTGCTTGGAGAAAGGGGGAGGTTACCTTTCTTCTTTTCTTTTTTCTTCTTTTTCTGAACTTATTTTTTAAATCTCTTGTATTTTGAATTTTTATCTGTATAATGTAAAGTTTAATATAAATATTTTTAAAAAGGATCTGAAAGATGGATGCAGTTTCCAAGAAGACATACTAGCAAGTAGCTGGTATACGCAGAAAGTAACCCAGAAAGGATAAAGCACAGAGAGAATTTAGACTTGCAAAAAAGATAAAAGCAGTAAAAAGGATTTTTGTTGCTGTGTTAGTGATAAAAATAAAGGAAGAGAAGGGCCCAAGGCTTGGATAAGATAAGATAGGTGATACTCTTCAACTCTTATTGTGTTTGAACTGTTGCCCCAAAGGGAATTATATTAAAATAGATCTCAGCAAAATAACTGACATAAGAGGGGGTAAGGATGAGGCAAGCTAAGATAAATTAAGATATGTTCCTTAGTATATGTTTGATGCAAATGGATAACTTACCACCAAAGTACAGCAATGCTATGTACTATTGAAATAAAATAATTTTGTTTTGCATAAAATGGAAAAATGCACTTATGATTTGTGGTTTTGATGATTAGAAAAAAACCCTGGATAACAGAAAAGAGTGAGCTTTCTTTTGTAAGCATAGAGTGAAACAATTCTTTTAACTGTACTTATAATTGCTACAAAGAAAATGGGAAGCTTCTTTTATTTTTTTTCTTAATACTTCTGCACTTTTTTCTTTCAACCATCAACAGGACGGGAACAAGAAACCAGCAGACTAGAACTTGGCAGTGCAAACCATAAAGGCCTTGGAAAATATATTCAGATACAATTATGTTTCTACACCTGCAAAGATCAGAATAGCTATGGTATTCCCTGTGACATTTTATGGAAGTGAAAATGAAACAGGGGCTTTGAAAAGCAGGACAGGAAGAGCATTGATGCTTTCGAAATTTGGTTTTGGAGAAGACTCCTGAGAATATCCTGGACAGTCAAGAAAACAAACAAATGGATTCATGGAGATTCTCAGTCATCCAGGACATGGTTGTCCCAAAGGTGCTTTTTTCCAAGAGTCAACTGGACTCCAAGAAGCTTCTTGGATGAGAAGTGAAACGTCTTCAAAGAAAAACCAAAAAGTCCAGTTGCCTCTTGGAAAAAACCTCCTTTGGGAAAAACAAATGGATCATCAAACAATCAGTCCACTTGAGATACAAATGGCCAGGTTCAAATTGCCTTACTTCACACACATTATGTGAAGATCTAACTCTCTGGAGAAGGCTCTAATGCTGGGAAAGGAAAGGAAAGAGAAGAAGAATATAATTAGCAGAAAGGTGGAAGAACAGTTACAGTACAGTTGGGGCATTGATGAAAGGTCTGAAAGATTAGTGACCAAAGATTATTATGGAGAAAATCTAGCAATGCAATCACTAAGAGTCAACACTGACTTGATGGCACATAATCAGTTTTCTTTCTCTGATCTCTGTTGTTGTGGCATCCTAGTTTATGCGCTGTAATTTGAGGAATTTTCTGTTTCTGTTTTGGCAACTTTATAAATGTGTCCATCTAGATTTCTTGGTAATAGTATATAAGTGCTTTGCTATTGCCTTCTTCCTGTTTGTTTTTTTCAGTCCAGTAACACATTAATGCAGGAAAACAGTGCTAAGGCAATATTTCACTTGGCTGATATTTAAACATACGGGACGTTCTAAAACTAGAGTTCTTTTCTTTTAAATGGGCTTTTGTATGGTGATGCTTAATGAACATTTTAAAACCACAATTTCTGTTCAATTAATTTTTATCTCGCCTGAAAGAAGCACATTCACTTAGCGAAGATTTTGCAGACCTGTCCTGCGGTCTGAAAAAAAAAAAGGCTGGGCCAGGAGCTTTATCTCACAATAAACGGCAAGTAAATTGCCATTAAGGTGGGAAGAGCCTTTTTAGGATGTCTGAGAGAAATGAGGAGTACGTGCTGGTTCCTTCTAGGCTGCAGATCAGACTATGATGTTACTGGTTGCTTGAAGGACATACCTCCTTTCTCTATTTCTATCATAAAATGGCATGCTGAGGAGATGAAATGTTACAGCTACTGATTAGCAAATGGAAATATAAAAGCTATCAGAAGCTGCTACTTGGCCAGGAATTCCATTCCATTAAGAACTTAGAGGAGCTATATCTCCATTCATAATTGTCAGGTTGATAGGTTTCAGCGAGTAGCAGTTGTTTTAATCAGCTCTTCTTCATTGTTCACTAATGCAAAAGTTATCTTACAGGAGCGGTTTCTCTATCCACATTTATAAATTACCACTGTTGTTTTAATTACTTCTTTTCATAATTTAGTGATGTAGAAGTCATCTGTTGTTTGATGGCATAAATGTTTTAGAAAAGGCAGTTACTATGAAAGAGACTGGAGAAAAGAATGTCAGGGAATAAGTTCAAAATGCATATAAGAGATTTCAGACAGCCAGACTCTATTTCAGAGATCCTGTAGATCCCCCACCTGTCAACTGAACAGGACCAAAACTTTTCCATGTTGGAAGAACAATAAGAAAAAAACCACACTGAGCTAAATAATTTAGTGTCATCAAGTCAATATTGACTCTTAGTGACCACATAGTTATTCTCCAGGAAAAGTAAATAAGGAGAATATAAATTGCAATTGGGGGAGGGGGGTACAATTAAAATGAATTAAAGCTGATGTGTATCCCCCCCACTTCTAAACTCACAATAACCCTGTGAGAGAGTGACCACCTGAATGACAATAAATGTCATGGCCAAGTCAGAATTTGAAGCGTAACTTTTCCAGAGAACTGCTGCAACACCCTTAATCACCACACCATATAAACACTCAATTTTCCTATATGAAAAGGAAGGTATAAATATATCCCAACACAGCACAGTGCTATTCAGCTCATTCCATCCCCCCACACTGCAATTTATATATTAAATATTACTGCAACTACACATTAAAGTAGCTAGTGGCGCCAAGAGGAAAAAGCACATGTAGGCTGTGTGACTGAGAGGGAGAATCACCTGGGAACTCCTCATTTTTGAAAAATTTCCCATATTGTATATGGATCTATACTCTGAAAAGTTATTCAGAAGGTTCAATCCCTGAAGCTTTTTTTTCAGAGTGGCAATAATGGGGAGAACACATTTCCTTTCCCAGCTATCAAAGGAACAAAGACCTTGTCTTCTCTAGCAGAGAAAAAAAGGGTGGTATCACTGATTGAGAAGAAGGTACACATAGCCCTGTATTGTGCCATGGTTGCCACAGTAACACCAATGCCACGGGTCACCTTGTTGACTTCCTTGATATCCTTGGGAAAAAAATATATCTGTTGAGGTAAAGGCCCTTCCAATTAGGCGACAGAACTGTAACCAGCCTATTCTGGTAGAACAGTTAGGTAATGGCTTCCCCTTAGGGCCATGCATTTGTTAACCCTGTACAGTAAAAAGGATGGGTGTAGGCAACAGCTCTAGGAGGTTGGGCTGGAAACATATATTAAGTGTTTGCTAATTCCCAAATTTCTATCTTTTACTCTATTATAATATATTGGTTCTTGTCACACATATAGATATATATTTAATCATGCACAATCTCCTTCATTTTGATTTTTCTCTCCTTGCAATTATTTGCATAGAATATTATTTATTTCAATATTTATTTATCTACAGAATATTGGTAACTTGCTCTGTCTCCAAACTGATGGGAGTCTGGGTGAGGCAAACCAGTATCAAAAATATGCATTAAAAACATATGTAAGTGACAAAAATTAAGATTTAGCGTATCAAATATGTCATTTGTTGGTTAATTTTTATTGGCTAGTTTGTGTGTCGAAAGGATCAAAATCCATCTTGGGAAGCAAGTATTCTATTTCCTAACTTCTAAAACGGTCCTTTCTCTATCATCCAGAATTATTTCAGGGCATGCTAGCAAGAAGAGAAGGCAGATTCCTTGGATCCAACAAGAACTTGCTGAGTTTAGATCCTTCAGCATCAGTTTTGTGAGCAATACATTTCAATTGCAGCTTAAGTTATCATGAAAGAGAGACTGAAATTTTTTCCTAACCCCTGGATGTAGTTATTCTATACTTGAATATGGAAAAACTTATTATTCTTAACTATTGCTTAGGGAAAGATAACACCAAGCTGCGGTTTATAATTCTATATCATTTTTCTAATTGTTTTTCCTACTTTTAGACATACCAGGAACCCAAATTATTTACAAGTAGCAGGAGAAGAATGGGAACCTGCAAACTCCAGGCTCATATATATCATTATGAACACTGCTTACCATAATGTCTGAAACAGATCTGACATTCTTTTTATAGTCAGCTATTCTTTTCTTAGCAAAGCATCCCTTTAAGCTGTCTTGTTTAGGAAGAGGGGAAAAGTTAACATTTTCTATCACACCTTATAAGGCAGCTGGTACAAGGGAGTGAGCTCACCAAGTGAATGAACAAGGAGAGCTAGTTTGCCTTAAAGAGTGTAAGAGGAATCTCTGTTTGTTGTTCTAAATCAACAGTTTTTACTTGTCTAATCTAAAAGCCTGAGAGATGGGAAGGAAAAGGCCTTTCCATAGGTGGTACTCTAAGGAAAAAATGAAGATGGATTTACAGGAGCCTGCAATGTTTGCAATAAATTTGTCCTTCTGCCTGAAACTAATCTTGGATATTTTTGCAACAAATGCAAAAACTGGAGCAGAGAATGGTTACAGTTCTGTTGATGAGAAAGGACAAGGAAAATCTATTAAAAAATCTATGATAGGCACACAGTTTGTCTTCGTTTGCCATGGAGTTTCTATCTTGCTATGCTCCAGGAAAGGACATTTTGAACCTATGAGACACTTCAGAAATACATTTTTGGAAATCACATGTCATAACTCCTTCCCATCTTCTTCAATTTATCAAAAAATGACTATACTGATTCCCATTCATCCAACATGATCGGTGTGTCAAGAAATATTGACAAATGCACACAAAAAATGCCCTGCCAGATGGCATTTTTACTGTGAGGCGCTTCCAATCCCTGCTTATAATTTAATGCTGACCTAAACTGAACATTTGTTTTGGAAAAAAATATTTACAATATCAAATTTCTTTTTTCATAGACACAGAACTTTCAGATCTAATGAATCTACAAAGAGTTTAAGCAGCAAAGTGATATTGATCTACCTTGAAAAATAATATAATGTACAGAGACTCCTCATGGCACACTCACTATCAGAAATGAGTATTCTGATATCTCCAGTTTAATACAACTAATCCTCTTAATTTTGAACTTTACAGCTCTAAGGGCTGCTGTATTTTTAAATACAGTATATTTGATACAGATTCAGAAGTCAGAGCAGGGTGAAGCTTCTTAATTTTAATTGCTCCCTTTCTCCTTCTCCATATTACTGAAGATTCAGTACACAAGAGAAAAGGCTCTTAATTATTCCATGGAAAGATGGAAGTCACACTGTGTCTGTGAACAACCAAAAAGCCCTACCAGATTGCTGCCCTACACTGCCAGTTATACGGGACTAAATCCATCAAAGATTTAGCAGCAATGAAAACAGGAAAGTTCAATTTACTGGTCTAAATTTATTTTTAAAAAGCCAAAACCTAATGACCACACAAGGTTTTAATGTGATGATAATTAATGAAACTAGTAAATCACCCCAGCATCTCTAATGCTTATGTAGCCTCTTTTTATGTAATTAACTATACAATACTCACCCAAAGCCCCCTGGCAGATATCTGTCCTTGTTGCTCCTCCAACAATAAACTGTGGGTCATCTACAATTTCCTGTCAAAATATATGTTATGAAGGAGGTTTCCTCATTTTTTTTTCATACAAATACAAGGGAAAACATGAAGTACAATATGCATGCAATGTGGCTAAAGAAAAATTAGGTAAATGGATTTCTGAGCAAGGCTAAAGTTACACTCTATCCATTCTTCTCTAGGTTCTTTTATTGTGTTTGCTAGCCAATAATAAGTCCAATCTTCTAAGATCCACTAATTCTTTTGTACCTTTACAAATGCATGTTCTCCTTTTCTTCTATTATGATTCAGCATAATGCTTTATTTAATCAAATAGGTCTATTGTCTTTTATAACCAATAGAACTCACACCCACTGAGATTATGTAACCACCTTCCTTACATGGCACTGTGGGACGTTGTGAGCTTTTTCTAAAGCTCTGTAAACCAGGGGTGTCCAACCTTGGCAACTTTAAGACTTGTGGACTTCAACTCCCAGAATTCCTCAGCCAGCAAAGCTTTTTTCTGTAAACAGTCGCTGCTTTACAGGGAGTGGTGGTGATTCTATATAAATTGATGGTTCTGTGGTCCCATAGTTGATGGACATCATCCACAGTAGACAGACACTATTAGGAGTTGCGCTGAAGTTTCCCTAAGGAGATCACTTCAAACATAACCATGTTTTCAGGTAGGTTCTCTCTTTCCCAGTTTTCTTCCCAGTTTGTTTATATCAATCAGGTTATCTGGAAAGGCCTATTTTTTAGGACTCTTTATTATAACTTTATTTTTGCAACCAAACTGTTTTATATCCTGAATCCTGACTTTGCCACCCACAGCCTTGTAACATTTTCCTACATTAGGAGCATAAATGGCTGTATTTGTTCAATTTTATTTCTCCATTCTGTATTCGTAACCAAAAACTAGAGGCCTGAAAAAACTAATGTCAGTGATAATGAGCCCAACAGATTCCCCATATATTGAAACTGGTGCAATTTCATGTTTAAATGTTTACAGTATTTAATTGCCGTGCAACATGCAATTTCCTATGCATATTTAAATAAAAATGAATGTGTTATGAGTTGTGTGAATGAATCTTTGCCCCACATATTTACCCTAAACTGTATTATAAGTTCATTTTCATATCTTGTAATTCTTTAAGAGAATAAAATAAGCCATTTAAAGAAAAACTTCACCATGCTCCATATTTAACATTTGCTTTTGTATCTGCTCAGACAATTATATTGCTTCAGTAATGCTTAAATAATCTGCATGGCAAACAGGAGTGGAAAGGGGAAAGAAAGTCACAACAGAACTGAGATTTGAAATAATGAGCTTGCATCTCATAGTTTAGTCACGCTATATATGAAGTTTACAAAATAAATGTCTGTTAAATTATAGACCTGGGATATATCAGTCTACAAATATGTAACAATGAAGTTTTATGGCTTAACACAATACAGTATACTAACCAGGCCATCTGTGGAATACTTAACATTGCATAGTTGTTTGAGTCAACACTTAATACAATACATTAATCCAGTTATTGAATAGTGTTGCAATCAGTCTTGGAGTTGGCTCCTGTCCATACTTCATAAACTGCACAGATGTTTTGAAATTAGGAACAGGAAATATTAGTAATAAGGACACAGATAGACACCATAAAAATAACTAAAGTAAAGCCTTGACTTAAGAGACTGTTGTTAAATTTGTAACTCCTAAATGTCCTTTAAATCCAAACATATATTATTTAGTGCAGTGTATCTTTAATGCTTATTCCAAATTACTTTGCATGTAATGAATTTGTCAGTTAGTTCAAGATGATATCCAGACAAAAATTTTGTCTATTGCATCTGAAGTCTACTCAAATGGGTCTGTTAAAATAAGGTTTTGCCAAATATATGAGAATTGGTTCAGTAAGCCTCAATGAAATCTACTATATTTGAATGTAGACCACAATAACAAATCATCCCACTACTAAAGCTTTCTTTAGCACACTGATACTCACTGATGGACGCTTCCAGCGCACCCCTCGGGTCTTGCCAGAATTAGGGCCCAGTTCCTTGAAGCCAAGGACTGAGGGAACAGCAGGAAACAGGGGGTCTTCAAATAATGTTCCACTCTCCAAACATTGTTGCTTCAGGGTATTATAATCTTGACCAAGGTACTTCACAGAATTCTGATGATCACCCACACCCTCAGCTCGCAGGCGGTCTCTTTCCAGCTTGGCAGCAATTCCTCCAAAAGAAAACATGGTACACCCTGCTTGACAGGGACAACTGGTGCCTCAGCAGTTCTCCTAGAACCCAAAATAAGGACATATGATTTAGACCATAGATCAAAAATCAAACCTGCAGTTATGGGAAAGGGTATTCCTGGGGAACTGGGAAATATTAGCCTAGCTTCACTTAAGAAATCTATACAGGTCGTATGCTGCCATAAATTTAGGGTCCAAATTATCATGAACTCATTTCAGATTTTGATTTGTAACCAACAGCCCCTGCAAGGTCATCACCATTTTCTTTTCATCTAAGAATAACATCAAACCAGTGGAAGAATGCTGTTGCTTAAGATTAAGCCATGATAGAGGCCAGAAAAGGTTTCTTCAAAATTACTCATTCAATTCTGACTAGCTTCACCTTTCCATAAAGCAGGGGTATCAAACTCAAGGCTCAGGGGGCCAGATCTGGCCCACGGGGTGCTTAGACCTGGCCCACAGTGCTGGTCTGGAAACAGCAAAGGCCCATGGTGTCTCTGCCAGTGAAAATGGAGCTTGGTTCAGTGGTGGTTTTCCCAAGCTCTGTTTTTGCTGGCAGAGGGTTGCAGGAGGCCATTGCAGCTGAAAATGGAGGTTGCAAGGGCCATGGGCAGCCCTGGCAGATCGTTACAGCCGAAAACAGAGCTCAGGAGCCCATTTTCGCTGGCTGAGTGCTTGGGCCCCCACAGGCGCCTCTGACATGAGTGACATTGAGTAGCCACACCCACCCTGGCCCCCCAAGGTCAGACACAACCCTGAAGTGGCCCTCAGTGAAATGAGTTTGACACCCCTGTTCTAGAATAAGAGCTGTAGAGATTGTGGTTAGCTCTTGGTTTGCAATGGAAAAAAGTCTTAAAATCTTCAAGAGCAAATTGTTAGAAGATCCTTTGCTTACATTTGTTTCTGAGGAAGCTATAAACCTAAAAGGTCTCTGTGTATAGATTTAAATAGTTGCAATTCCTCATAATTATGGTTCCTCATAATTATGGTTTATGGTTTTTAGAGGTTAAGAAGCCTGGGTTTTTTTTGTCTAAAGTAATTTGTACATCCCAGCTGTCTTTCCAGATACTGCTAATTCTCAGTATCTGTCATACTAAGCCATTGTGTTCAGGACTAATGAATGATAGGCATTGCAATCCATATCTGTTACTCATCCTGCTCTAGGGAGCAATATGTTCAAATTCTGCAAAAAAAAACCCAAAAACCCATCACATATGGTGATGATGATTTATTAAACATGTAGGCCACCTAACTTTTAATGACTTGGGATGACTCACAATAACCAAAGAAATTATAATGACAATAACACAAAAAAAAATTCTCTCTTTCAAATATTATTTCTTCTAACACTGAAAATAATTCCCTGAAGTCTACTTATTTCAAAATAGTATCTTAAAGCTTCAGATTTTTCTGTAAAAGTGCAACATGGTTGTTCATACTCTGCCAAAAAGTTAATATTCTGTGTTAAAAATTGTTTAATTCTGCCTGAGGTTCCTACCAGAGGTATGGCTTCTCTTCTTTCTCTAACTTTAGGCTGCACAGAAATAGAGCAATGTTCTTTTTAATATTTAAACAATATGAATTTGGCCAGGATGTCTCTAAACTGAGCTTATGGAATATTGCCAAAAATGTGATTTGTGCAACAGTGTTTTTTTTTAATGAAGTCATAATTGCCTGGATTCACACAACATACTTGGCCAAACCAAGCACTGTACTCACAATACAATTTAGCCTGATATATGTAAACTCCATAAATGGTAATTACCTGTTGTATTTACTGTAAGACAACAGTCTAATAGAGAGCAGTTAGCTTACTTGAAAAATCCAGATTTGAATCCTTAGAACCTTGAAATAGGAAGCCAAAGGCAATAAAGACATGCCTTTGCAATAAAGACATACAAGGGAGAGAAGTAATTATAGTCAAACAGTGTAAACTAACACTACTTACTGTAGTGTTTAGTAATTTTCTACCCTTGGATCACCCTAACTTCTACCCCACCAATTCACTATATCAGACATTACGTTATAGTTATAACACATTAATAACATATATAATATATATTCTATGTAATATATTCAAAGTTGGTAGGGCCACCAGAAACCAGATTTTAGAGACACCAGTTGACTATTACAAATGTATTAATCTTGAATATCGTGTTTCATGTTTTGGATTGCCACTTTCATTGAACCAGAACAGTTTGCAGGTAACCTGATTTTTTCATTCAATATCAATGCTGCTCCAAAGAATAGATGCTAAATTGCTAACAAGAATATCTTGCAGGTCACAAAAAGGACAGGTGGCACGGTGGCTCAGCGGTTAAGATGTTGGGTTTGTTGGCTGGAAAGCTGGCAGCCCACGTTCGAACTCCACACAACAGGGTGAGCTCCTGTCTTCATCCCAGCTCCCAACTCAGCAGTTTGAAAGTTTGAAAGCAGTTTGAAAGCATACGAAATGTCAGTAGATAAATAGGTACCATGTTGGTGTGTAGCAGACCTGTCAAACTGACAGCCCATGGGCTAGATGAATCACACGCAGGGCATGCCTACCCTGGCTCTGCAAAGGCAAAAAACATTGCAATGCATCACGATACGTCATGTGACGTGATCAAGTTTGACACCTGTGTGAAGGTAACAGAATTCTGTGACGTCATGCTGGCCATATGACTGCAGAAATGTCTTCAGACAGCACTGGCTCAATGGCCTTGAAATGGAGATGAGCACACTGTCCCCTAAAGTCTGCAACAATTAGAGGAGCAAAATCCACAGGGACTCCAAAAAAAACCACGCACATACAAAGTCAGATCTAATATACATATAGTGACTTTATGGCAGGGGAGTCAAACTGGATTTCTTTGAGGGCCAGATCAGCATGGTAGTTGTCCTCCACAGGCCAGCCGGGGGTGGTGGGAGAGAAGACGGGACAAGCAGCAGATGGGACAGACTCCCCCTGCAGCATTTTGCTGGCCAAAAGGGGACACCGGTGTGTGGGTGTGTGCATAGTCACCCCATGCCCCATTTTGGGCTTGGATGGCCTCCTGCAGCATTCTGCTGGCCAAAACGGGGCATGGGGAGGCTGAAAACAGGGCATGGCCACGCCCCATTTTCACCAGCAGAGGCACCATGGGTCGGTCCTTTGCTATTTCCAGACTGGTTCCCACAGCCCAGATCTAAGCACCCCATGGGTCAGATCTGGCCCACGGCCCTTGAGTTTGACACCCCTGGTCTATGCTGTTGTGGAACAGCTCTGATCATCAGGATTTTTCTTCTGACATCCAAATGAAATCTACTTCCTTGTGATTTCTTGTCCAGTCTTTTGCCTTTATCTTCTACAAGACAGATCTTAAGATTAGGGAAGACAATTTCAGATTTATATTTTAAATTCTCTATAGAATCTCTACGTCTGCCCAAATCATTCTGAATGGACAATATATGCATAAAATAAAAATGAATTAAAGCTTTATAGGGTGACATGTAATTAAAATAACACACATGAAACTATCTTCCAGCATAGAACCACACATCAGTTTGTTTCTACTAATATCTTGAATTAAGGGTTAAAGGGGAAAACCCAGGTTCTTAAGGCCTTCCAGAAAACCAACAAGCACAGGATCATCTGGATCTTAGATGGGGAAGATGAAGGTCTAGGTCTAGGGAAGAATACTCACTATTATATTTAGTTTGGAGGTTGAATCTTGTTTGGTTTTGCTCAATGTTCCAGCAACTATTTCCAACTAACTCAGACTTTCTTCTACCTATGACTCATTAGTAGGGTGGGGTAAAATGGAATCTCCTCCATTCATCAGCACTCAGGCAAGTACTTCCTGCTTTATACAGTTTCATTGTTCTATATATAAGTTGACTGCAACCAGAATGCAAAGTAGAATAATTCTGATATAAACTATATTATTCACACTTGTATTTCTTTCAAAAAAGAAAGGTCTTGCTTTAGCTACAAAATGATAGCATGGTGGACACCCACCAGATGACACTAGTTTGTCTCCTTTAATTGCAAGTGTAATGATTGCTTGCCCTGAGGCAGCAATTGCATAAATAAAGGTTATGATCGGTAGGATACTTTTGCACATATCTACCTGATTTTTCCTAACTTTTTCCTGACTTATTGACTAGTAAGTGGCAGAAGTTAGACTCATCTTTCTTAGCTATCATCCAGTAATGTAGTTGTTTAGATTTGAAGAACTGGAGTTTGTCAAATTGCAGAACACAGCTCTGATCATTCAAATTGACAGGAGAGGAAAAAAACAACTGCATGTTGATGCTCTATTTTTGCCAAGATATGTTCCACAAGGGAGTGGATTTTTTAAAAGGATATTTCTGTGAGGACGGGAAGTGACCAGGCCAGGTTTTTCTCAACACTTCCTACATTATTGGGAAGGAATTCTCTGTTGTCCAGGCCAGGGAGTAGATAGAAAGGCCAAAGGTGATAGAAAAGAATGATTCCTTTCTATCACCTTTTCAATTAATAATAATAATAACCTTTATTGTCATTGTACATATATACAATGAAATTGATTTTGCTCCTGCTGGTGCTATCCATAACAAAAATGCAATACAACATAAATAATATAGAAAATGGTCCTCATACAAGTAATTAGGGAGGAACCAGTCATATGTTTCCATGTATGCATGGAGTGATTGTAGTTGTATTTAGGAGTCTGACTGCCCATGGATAAAAGCTGTTTTTAAGCCTGTTTGTCAGGCTGGCTATACTTCTGTGCCTTCTGACCAATGGTAAAAGTGAGAAAAGACACTGGCCAGGATGTGGATCGTCCCTAAGTATCTTCCTTGCTCTGCTGAAACCAATGAGACCTGTCGATGTCGTCCAGTGGTGTTAGGGGGGCAACCAATGGTTTCTTGTGCCGAATTTATCACTCCCTGTAATGCCTTCCTGTTTGCAGCTGTTGAACCAGTGTACCATACTGTTATACAGTATGTAAGGATACTTTCTATCATAAAGGTTGTTCCACCTGATTTTTCTACAGGATCTAAGGAAACAAAGTCTCTGCTGAGCCTTCCTAACCACC